GTATGCTGAATGACAGCACCAATTCCATAAGCACTCGCATCACATGCCAATGTTAGAGGTAAGGCAGGGTCATAATGAGCTAACACCCTGTCACTTGTCAGTAATTTTTTACAGTTATTAAAAGCTTTTTGTTCCATCTTAGTCCATCTCCAGACAGTCTGTTCCCTCAAAAGTCTATACAAAGGTGCCAAAAGCATGATTTGATTCGGCACAAAACGCCCATAATAGTTTACAAGACCAAGGAAAGCCCGGAGCTCCTTGCAATTTGTAGGTGCGCGAGCCTCCTGTATCGCTCTAACTTTGCCCTCTGATGGGTGCACCCCATTACCATCAAACACATAACCAAGATACTCTATTCGTGGTTTAGAAAATTCACACTTAGATTTTTTTACTCGAAGGCCACATTCTTGAAGACGTTGTAAGACTCCTTGTAGATTAAGCAGGTGAGCCTGCTCATTTTCTCCCATAATTAATAAGTCATCCAAATATACTACAACATTCAAATCCTTCATCAAATTTTCCATAATACGTTGGAAAATTGAAGGCGCAGAGCTAATGCCAAAAGCCAATCTATTGTACACATATAAGCCCCTATGTGTATTAATAGTTGTGTACTTTTTAGACTCCTCATCTAGCAGTACCTGCTGATAGGCAGCTGCAAGATCAATTTTGGAAAACAACTTCCCCCTACTCAGAGTAGCCATTATTTCCTCAATGCGAGGCAAGGGGTACGTCTCAGTACTTGCTACTTGATTAACAGTTACCTTGTAGTCCCCACAAAGGCGAATAGATTTATCCTTCTTAATTACGGGAACTACAGGTGCAGCCCATTCACTATGCTTAACAGGAGTAATAATGCCTACAGACTCCAGCCTTTCCAAGTCCTTGTCTACCTGTTCTTTCATAGCAAAGGGCAATGGTCTAGACTTATGAAATTTAGGGGTAGCATCTGGCTTTACCAAGATAGTTGCCTTTATACCTTTTAAAGTGCCCAATTCCTCTTTGAACACATCCGTGTACAAATTCAGGACTTCCTGAACCGAGATAGGCTGCTTCCCATCTGTTTGACTGTGTATCTGTTTAATTTGCTTCCAATTTAATTTAAGTTTCTGTAGCCAATTACGTCCACATAAGGCAGGACCAGTCCCATCTACAACTACCAGTGGCAAGTCTGCCATCTGATCCTCATAAGTCACCACAGCACTAAACTGGCCCAATACTGGGATGTTTTCACCAGTATAAGTTTTTAATTTAACTGGGGCAGCCCTTAACTCCAATTGTGAAAAAAACTGTTCATACAACACTTTAGAAATGATACTAACGGCAGCTCTTGTGTCGATTTCCATATATACTTCAGTGTTGTTTATCAGAAATGGGGTTCTAAAAGACAATGTGTCCTTATCTTTTGCAGAGAAGACAGAAAACATTTCAAGCTCTGGTTCCTCTAACTTAACATACCTGTTATAACTGTTCCGTGGCCCTTTTTGCGTAGGCACACTATTAGTCTTAGCACTTGCTTTCATCCGACAAACTTTTTTTCTATGACCAAACTTACTACAATTGTGGCATTTAGCATCTTTGAAATAACACTCATTTGCATGATGGTTCGATTTTCCGCATCTGTAGCATTTCTTTACATACTTTTGCGGTTTTCCTTGCACTTTATGTACATTAACGGCTGCCACTCCATCGTCCCTCTTCTGAAGCTGCTGAGCATCCCGCTCTGCCGTCTCCATGCCGAGTGCCAGTTCTAGCGCTCTGGCAAACGTCAAGGCGTCTTCGGCTAGCAATCGCCGCTGGCAAGGCTCACTCCGTATGCCGCACACAAAACGATCACGCAGCGCCTGATCCAACGTAGCTCCGAAGTCGCAGTTAACTGCACACTGCTTCAATTCAGCGGCAAACTGATTAACAGTCTGATTAGGTTTCTGACTGCAGCGATGAAACCTAAAACGCTCAGCCACCAATAAGGGCTTTGGTTCGAAATGCTCTTTCAAAATGGCCACAATCTTTAGGCTTTTCAGGCTGAACTAAGTTCCTCAAAAGTCCGTACGTTGCAGGACCCATAACACTAAGCAGGGTAGCCACGTACTTGTCTGCAGCAATATCATTAGCCACGAAAAACTGCTCCAAGCGCTCCACATATGCCGACCACGATTCGGCGTCGGGCTTAAACTCATCCACTTTCCCGATACCAGCCATTTCTTGGAGCAAAGAAAGAAAATAACAATAATCTGCGAAACACTCACTGCAGCTAAATCAAACCGGAATTATCCTCGTCGCCAATTGTGATATATTGAGCACCACTTATACAAAGACACGATTTCACTCTACGTCTTTAATACCGAACCAGGCTAGCTAACAACCATCATTGTCGGAGAAAACGTGTTCCCTTATATCCAAGTGCGCATGCCCCAAGGCGCCTAATACAGCAACACCATTAGGACATATTACTTGCAGCATTAACGAAACTGTTAACATAAGTTCAATACATCACAATTACTTAAAAAACGTTATGGTTAAGGGGTTTATTTTATGTCCGGGGTTTTGCTGTGTGTGTGGGCGTGCGCTCGCATGAGTGTGAACAAACACTTACTGAAAAAGCCTGTTTATTAAAATGACTAAGGCGTTATTCTACCAAAGTTTCAAAATGTTTTTGATGTATGTCGCTAAATACCGGGCACTATTTCCTATAGCTAATACATGTAATTAAATAAACCGGGGCCAACTTCTTTAAAATGAACTAACAAAATACAGCTAAAATATTTTTTGATGCTTAATGTTGCCTAAATGATTTACATCACGCTCATACTATTTAATAATTTCGCTACAACAAAACGATCCTTATACATTTTAAGAAAAACGTAAACTATATATGTTTAGTGTTTTTTGATTGAGTTTGATTATCAATTAAACTCTAAAGCCCCACTCTTGGTTGTGCGCTTGTGCACATGTCCGGGCTTTTCTGTGTGCGTGTGTAGGGTGTTCATTTTGCGTCTAAAGTTAAGGTATATATATTTATACTAATTTAAAATAACACACTTTTGTTTGCCTATTAAATACATCTAAAGTTTTTCTACCTTTAAACATGAACAAAAGCCGTTAATGTCTTTCCTTTAAAATTTACATGGGGTGAGCAGTTCAGTAACAGTTACCTTGATACTTATGGACAAATGCTTCGTGGAAAAATTTGTAGCCTTTATCAAGTTTGCTCTTTCTCGTGACAGAGTTTTCCTCCACGAGTTTAGCAACATCCGCAAATATAAATTTGGGCAAATTTGTTAGAGAGGTTGTACGCATTCTCTATTCAATTTTCTCTGATCCCGGGTTTTCTAATGCATTGACGCTTGACCGGAACTAAGTTTACCCTACATTTACGTATTTCCGGTTTTCGTGAAAAAGGTCTATTCCATGAAAGTAGCTAAATAAAGCCAGACTTACGCGAAAAAGTGAGACTCAAATTAGCTCCATCTCTAAACTTAGCCTCATGTCGTTCCACGAACGCAGTTCAGCTTTAACTAACCGAGGCTTATTCAAGGCAGACTTGCATAGTCTCACTTAGTGCGCACATCCGCGATATTTAAGAAGCCCAAATGAATGGATGAACGATAGATCGACCAAATGAGTCGGAAAGTGTTTAAAACGAGATCGGTGTTTCATTCCGCCGCAGAACAAACGCTGCTGATGGAGCTGTATGAAAAACACAAAGGTGTAATCGTTAAAAAAGGCAATACTGTGGCCATAAACACAGCCAGAGTGTTGGCTTGGCAATGCATTACAGACAGATTAAATGTACAAGTTACGTAACTGTTGCAAGTGCTTGGCACGGTGGTACAGTGGTTTATGTTGTCGCCTTATAACGCGAAAGTTGGTGGTTCGATTCCCATAGCCAGCAGAGTTGAGTTCCCGTGTCATTGTTATTGTATCGTTGAGTTCCCGTGTCATTATCGAAATAAGCCAGACTTTCCCTTAATCCTGCTTCATGGAATACCCCCCTGTTTTAACAGGGGGGAACCAAATATCCTGGATGTCAGGAAATAATGTTTCTCCTAATATTTAGGCAAATATGTATGTGAGATGTCTGAAAATCACTCAGATACATTATTACATGTGAATACAGTAGATCGTCAAGCATACTATAGTCTTATAAGCAATACTATATCGTTTTCATCAAGAAATATCTCTATCCAGTGAATTAAATACTTTCATTTATTATCTGTAAAAACAAAAACATGTTATGTTTTAAATATATGGCTTGTTTACCTCAAGAGCTTCGTAAAAAGACATGAAAACAACAGCGAAACCGTGTACAAATCAGCGCGCGACAGGGGAAACATAGGGAAACTGAATTGCCCGGAACACGTGGACCAGCGGACCTCGTCTGTTATAGACGATATTACGTTATAAGCGAGTCCACTATAATGGGATTTTACTGTATACGTTTAAGTATATCTTGCATGACATAAAATGGCAACATTACATATATTCTGTGATAAATTTTTACAATTTCAAATGAGATAACTTAGTGTACTATAGGCCTATTCAATTTTATTAAAGAATATAGGGGATGCATTTATTTGATGTAAAATCTATTAATCAAATGATGTTGTATTTACAACACCAATGAGTCGTTTTTTTACAGTGTAGAATCATCAATCCACAATTCCAAACTTGAGCTGAGGGTCTGAGTCAGCATTTGCCATTGTTCTGGTTAGAAACCAGAATGCCGTGAGCTTTTTATAAGCAGATTGAGAGTGGCCCTAGCAAGCTGTCGTCTGCAATCAAGCACACGGTGTAGAAGGGTTGCCCAATATTGTGCCCGAGGTCCGGTGACTCATCCGGCCTGTATTTACGCACATCCGTGCACAAAGTTATTTATAACATGTTTTACTTGAATAGAGTCAATGTACATTTTGGATGACTCATCAGGATTTTATTAAAGTTATCCATGTAATGTCTAAAAGCATATGTATGTGTACTTCAGAGAAAAAACAAGAAGCTTTCCTTTTTTGGGTTGTTTATTACATTTACCCACATTTAATACTACATCAAAATATTGGATTAATGGATTATATTTATGTTGTTTACAATACAAATGTTTCTGACTGGCTTGGCGGAGGCCTTTGTACAAAATGGCTACCAAAACATTTGAAGCACAAGCAGAGAATACACAGGATTATACTGTTTTTTAGTTTCATTTGATAAATTACACAAACAAGTTATCGCATCTGGAAAAAAGGAAAAAAGTGACATATCATCTGTGATGCTGAAACATTACAGCCAAGCTTTCTTATTAAATCAGGGGAAGAATTTTCACTCCTTTTTTTCACAAAGTAGCTTTTTATATTTTTCAGTTGACTTTTTTGTACGTTAACCAGTGCATTTTATGTTGACGGCAATAAAATACACTTAACTGATGCCCATTTACACAAATATCCAGACTTTATTGTATCCGGAGTCCCCGCCCACAGAACAATCTCTTGTTCTATCTTTGTAGTCAGAGCAAATCAATCTCATTTTTCTGAGTGGCTGTCAGTTGAGCCATTCTCAGTTATCACTGATTTGCTGAAGGAAAGAAACCTCTTATCTGATTAAAGCCACAGTGATGCTTAGCAATAACGTTGCTACAGTGCTGTCTTTGTATTTTATTTATCTTTAGGTCTATAAATAAAGCACATGTTCATCATTATCATATCATATTGCTGTTGTTGTTGTTGTTGCTATATTTGTGTTATACTTTTAGCACAGATGAAGTATATCAGTAAGGAGAGAAACTTTAATATGATTTAGATTTGTATTGTTTTTGTGTTGATATTTGTTTGGTATTGACCTTACATTGTGATAACTGGGATTTTGCTGTGTTTACCATTACACAGTTTTGATTTGCAGCCCCCTTAACACTCAAATGTAGTAGCCAGCCCCACCTGCACCCCTACTTCCTCTTGCCGACGCGGGCCATCAGCTCGGCATTGGCGGCTGCCTTGGCATGCATGTCCTGGTTCTTGGCCAGGTCGATGAGCACGCTGAGGATGCGGGTAGGCACGTCCAGCGACAGGGAGAAGCGAGACCCCTGGGGGCTCCTCTTTGGGGCCAGAGGCCGGTGCTGCGGGGTCTGGCTCTTCTGGACCCCGGCTGGAAGCAGCAGGTTGCGGTTCCTGTTCAGGATGTCGATGTCTCTGTCCCACTTCTCCAGGAGCCTGTCAAATGTCTGCCTTTGGCACAGCGTGCTCGACATCAGCAGAGACACCAGGCATGCAGATACCCACACTGTGCTCATCTTTACCGGAGATAGAACCTGTCTGGGACAGGAGGGGAGAGCAGGGGTACTGAGGTTTAGTGGAGGGACGGCAGGAGAGGGACGGCAGGAGAGGGCTGATGCTGCGGACAGTGCTCAGACTGACAATGAAACTGCCTTCTCACTAGCCTTAGTATTTATACTGCAGAATTAATGGATGAGGGGATTACACTCACCCAAACTTTGGACGAAACCTGAAAAAGTCTTAAAAGTCAATAAAGCTATGTGCTTTTAGATTCAGAAACCACGGGTGTAATTTAATGGTATCATAATATTTCTGAAGTAGGAAGTTTTGAGGACTTGACTTCATAGCGCAACACAATCAATGCAAAGACAAATAACGTCAATGCAGTTTACAGACAGAAAACACATTATTGACGAGGTCACAAAGAATATTCAAATATAGCATGTATCACCAAATAAAATTAGATCAAATGCATAGATTTTAACCTGTCGCATCCTATATTTAAATGGGGGCAGGTACCCATATCTCCATCTTCTGACTCTTCAAACTCTACTGGTGCTAGTTCACCAACCATGGTGGGAGGACAACAAAGAGGCTGTACCTGCAGTCGCCTTGCCCTCTTCCCTGAAGTGCGCAGTGATGCCTGATCGCTGTTCCTCGCTGTGTCCCGGCACTGGTCGTTCCGTCCAGTTGGGCTCAGCCGCAGATCGTCCACTCAGGTGCGCCGAGCTCTGCTCTAATGAACTCTCTCCCTCTCGTTCCCTACTCTACGATCCTCTGCCGTCACCCTGACCCCACCCCCATCCTGTCCAGTGATCTTTTCATCTTTTCATCATGGCTCTTTTTCCACCTCCATGGTACTTAAGCCATTCTTGTCTCCTCCCACCACAAACCTCTCCTGTTCCGTTTAGCATTACTTATGCTGGAAATTTTCTCATTGTCTATTCAAAGGACCATTCAAAACATTGGGTTTTAAACCAATACTCAATTGTCCAAACCATCGTCTTCTGCCTGAGTGTGTATCACTCTCCCATTGGACAGGCATTCTTTTATTTTCATGTGGATGCAAAGTGACAGAGTTATAAATAGAAGCCAAAACATATATGTAATGACAAGAAAATAAGTGAAAGCAGAAGAGATTACTTCCTTGCTGTCACAGTACTTTTTGCAAGCCAGGCTTTGTGTGGTCCCTGTATCCTGCATAAGTCATTGTTTGTTAGATCTGAAATAATGAAGGATAACTGCTAAGACACAAAATATCAAATCAACTGGAGGACAAAGTGAATGAGCAACGGCACTGATGTATCAGCAACACAGCGTGACCTGCCTTTTGTTTTCAGAGATTTAATCACCTCTAATGAAGGTCTTTTTTTTGTGCCTTTGGCACAAAAGCCACCTCTTTTCTTGAAAGCATCATTTAACTCACTACACCTTCCTACTGAATATTTCCCACAAACTTTTGTGGCAAAGCATTCAGATTCTTCAGTATTAGGACACCTTTGTCCTACTGTTGTTTTCAGATCTTGCCTTAGGTTTTTATTGAAAATTCGCATCTGAAATCAGGCAGACTACTCCATAACAGTCCAGTATTTCCTCCAGCCATTCTTAAATGATTTTAGATGTATCTGTAGGATTACTGTCTTACTGGAAGACAAAACACCTTTGATTAACGCCCTGTTTCAAGACAATTAATTAAATATGACCCTCCAGAATGACTTAAGATTCATTTAGTTTCTTGATGTCAAGTATATATTTAAGGCCCAATACATTATGAAACTTCCACCGTATTTTCTTTGTAGAAATTGTCTGATTTGCATTTCCAGACAGTTCTAGACCACTCAGTTGCAAATGGCACCAATGCATGCTGCAGGTCATCGCCCAATGATTCCAACAGGTCACATCATCTGCAAAAAGCAGCGATGCGATCCTGAGGCACCTGAACCAGACCCCCTCCGTTCCTTGGCATTACCTAGAAATTCTGACCATAAAGGTTATGATCAGAACTGGTGACAAAGGGCAGCCCTGGTGGCATCCAGCACCCACCGGGAATGAGTCTGACTTAACGCTGGAAATCCCCACCAAACTCTCGATTTATTTATACAGGGACCTGTTGGTCCACAGCAATGGACCCAGCACCCCACACTCCTGGAGCACCCTCCACAGGACCCCCCAAGGGACATGATTGTATGTGTCCACAAAACACATGTAGACCAGTTGGGCAAACTCCCACGAACCCTCCAGGATCCTTGTGATCCAGTATTCCGTGACCAGGATGGAATCTGCATAGTTCCTCCTGGATCCAAGGTGCGACCAACAGACAGTCCCTCCTCTGCAGTACCCTGGCATAGACCTTCGCTGGGAGGCTGAGGAGGGTGATCCCCCTAAAGTTGGAACACATCTTCTGGTCCCCTTTCTCAAAGATTGGGACTTACACCCCAGAGTGCCAATCCGAAGGCACTGTCCCCAATGTCCACACAATGCTGAAGATGCGTGTCAGCCGAGACAGCCTCAAAACATAAAGAGTTTTCAAGAACTCATGGCAAATCTCATCCATTCCCGGAGCCTTACCACAGAACAGCTGTTTGACTTCTTCAGCTCTGCTTCCTCCAAGGAAGACAAAACAGTGAGATTCAGCAGGACCTCGAAATATTCTTTCCATTGCCTGTCTATATCCCCAGTTTAAGTCATCAGTTCTCCATCCCTGCTGTAAACAGCATGGGTTAAGCCCTGCTTCCCCCTCTTCAATCATCTGACGGTTTGCCAGAATCTTTTCGAGGCTGACTGAAAGCTCTTCTCCATGGCCTCACCAAACTCCACCCACACCTGAGTTTTTGTTTCAGTAACTGCCAAAGCCACTTTCCACTTGGCCTGCCGGTACCTGTTAGCTGCTTCCAGAATCCCACAAGCTAACCAAGCTTGGAAGGCCTCCTTCTTCAGCCTGACAGCTCCCTTTACTGTTGGTATCCACCACCAGGTTCGGGGATGTACCGCCGCTACAGCAATGGAGTCCAGGAACATGGCCCATTCAGGCTCAATGTCCCCTGACTCTCTTGGGATGCAGGAGAAAATCTGCCCGATGGTTGAATTAAAGATCTCCTGGACAGGGGCCTCTGCCAGATGATCCCAGCACATCCTCACTATTCGTGTAGGTTTACCAGGTCTATCCAGCATCTTCCCCCACCATCGGATCCAACTCACCGCCAGGTGGTGAACAGTTGACAGCTCAGCTCCTCTCTTCACCCGATTGTCCAAAACATGTGGACGCAGTTCCGACAATACGATTACAAAACTGATCACCAAACTGCGGCCTACAGTGCTCTTATGCCAGGTACACTTATGAACAGTGGCGTGCACAGACATTTTGGGGGGCAAGTGCTCCAGGGGGAAAAAAGGGCACTTTTTGCATATGTGGAAAACCTTTTCTTTTTATAATAAAAAAAAACGCACAGGTTAAATGCAATTTGACTTTTATTTCAAAACATTCTCTAAAAATCAAAAATCACACCACAAAAAGATAAAATCTGTATCCAACTCTAAACTATATACATACATATTCACAACACAGTGCGTAAATGTCTGCGAGCATCGCTGAGTCAGTAACAACCAGTTAGGCTAAAGACTGCATCTTTAGACAGTTGGACGGTGTTCTAACTTTCTCACAGGAGACACCTACTAAAGACAGTCAAAGACATTAATTTCAATCTTACCAAAGTAGGACAGTAGTTGACGTTAGTTATGGAAAGGCTAATCCACAAAAACGGAGAAACGTCCATAATTCTATTATTCATAATCATGTCAAGGTTTTAGGTTTTTCTGCAGTTCCATCTCTAAAAAGTGTGATGTCTTCCCGTCACTGACTTCAGTTTGAAAACTTTGTATTTATTCACAGATTTCCGTGAGATCATCCTAAAATTTGTAACGAAAAATGGGCTCAAAAGAGCCCTCTGCCTAACGGCATGTAGCCTATAGCATAACGTGATATTTTCAATAGTGTATGCAAAAAGGTCGGAATTGATGGAGAGTGGGGTTGCCTAAATGGTTTAGGTTACATTTTAAATGTGTCGTTTTTTTGTTTATCCATATGGATGGATGGAGGGGGCAAGCTGGCAAAGTTTGTCATGTGCAGTTTCTGACAGGCTACTTCACAACAAAACAATTGCAGGTTGATCTTAGAGGGCAAACAGAATAATTTCACTCGATTCATGGGTTACCTGACTGGTTGGGAAGGGAAAGAGCTGCCGTGTTGTCCGCCGTGGCTCCCAGTCGCTATAGTTAGCCTACTATGCCTACTCCAAGTAGTCCTATGTCATGCCGCTGCTACACGCCTCACAACAAATGAACTGCTAGCGTGTTCACGTGACACGGTGACAGTGAAAAAGCGACAGGGTTCGGGTGTCTTTGAAGAAGGGGCACAAATCAAGCCATTATTTTCACACCTTTTTAAATCGCGCAGCTTTAAAAAAAAAAAAAAAATCACGTCTTTCAAAAGGGCACTTTTTTGGACTGAGGGCAAAAGGGCAAGTGCTTCAGCACCACCTCGTCTCTATCTGTGCACGCCAGTGCTTATGAACATCGTTATGTTCGAACATGATGTTCGTCATGAACAAACTGTGGTTAGCACAGAAGTCCAATAACCGATCGCCGCTTGAATTCCAATGGGGCAGGCCATTCCTCCCAGTCACACCCTTCCAGGATTCACTGTAATTAATCAGGTGTGTATTAAAGTCCCTCAGCGGAACAATAGAGTCCCCAAAAGAGGCACCTTCCAACACCCCTTTCACGGTCTCCAAGACATGTTCGGTGTGTACGCAGTCTTGAAGTTGAAGGGAAGCGACCCTGTCATTCACAGGGGTAAACTCCAAGATACTGGCACCAAACTGGAGGGCTATAAGTAGATCCACCCCTGCCAGGCGCCTCTCACCATGGGCAACTGCAGACTGGAATAGAGTCCAGCCCCTTTCCAGGAGTTTGGTTCCAGAGCCTGAGTCATGTGTTGAGGTGAGTCCAACTATACTATTTGGTATTTCTCTACATCCCAAACCAGCTAAGGCTGCTTTCCCACTGGAGAGGTTATATTCCATGTACCAAGAGCCAGTTTTGGTAGCTGAAAATCGATCTGTTGAGGGCCCTGTCTTCGACTGTCATCCAATCGCCATCGAACCCAACCACCCTGTAGGTGTCAACCCATGCTGTCCCTTTGGGCTGTGCCTGGGCATTCCCCTGGGTGGAGGTCTGGCCGCCAGTCACTCACCTTTGAGCTCCACCAGGGCAAGGCCCTGATCATCACCCTACCAGGGGCAACTGTCCCAGACAACATAGCTCCTAGGATCAGAGAGACATGCATACCCCTCCACCACGATAAAGTGGCTATTCATGGGCGGGCAGACAGTTCTAATGTTGATTCATCTATCAACACAATATTTTACCAGGTAGCTTGTTCAAGACAGCTGGATCAGAAAGTTGCAGATTAAACTCCTGCGGTTGACAGAGTGATGTCACCATTGGGCCCCTGAGCAACATCTTTAATCTCCAGTTGCTCCAGGGACTGTCTGACCCGGCTCTCTAATCCTCAGTCATATGTCTCTTTGGACAGATGTGTATGCTGAATAAATAAAAGTAATGTATGAAGTCCCAATCACAGAAAGAGAATCTTATTAAATACATAAATCTTGCCCTTTCTCTTGATTTAGTATATCACATTTTTTAAAAATGAATATGAACATATAGATTT